GACGTGACATGTTCGTACGAACTCTTTGTACGAACAAAAGTAAGAGAAATTTAGGATAAGAATACGAACATGTTCTTGCATGAGGCCCAATGTTAGGCATAAATGAAATTAAATTAGTATAAAAGTTACAAATACTAAAAGTTATTTTTTGTAGTATTAGCTGGGAAACATCCAACAGCTTTGGTTTATGTTTCACACAATAATTTTACTGTAATTGTACAACAAACTCAGTCATATTGTAGCTCGAAGTGTTGTAGATGGCTGAGTGTAAGAACACCCAACATTAAAACTGTGAAACGTACAATTATCCTTTACACTACTGGAATTCACTGAACACAGTGACAAAACAGACATGCTGGGGGTGTTTTCGCTGAGGGAGGAAGCAGTTACTGTTAAAATAAGATGTAGATGAGTTGCATGAGGAAAACTAAGTCATACATGTGGAGGAACAAAACAGAACACCTGAATCTGTTTTTCATACCCAACGAACTTGTAATTAATTAACTTCTTACAAACAGTGGCAGGATGAAAGCTTTCCTGAATATTTTCATGGAAATTCAATTAAAAAAGGTCCAGGAACCGTGGCTTCACTTGACATCTGGTTGAATTTCAACATGAAAACGCTTCAGCTCTTGGTTTAAGGAATCAGCAGTGGTGGGCAGTAGGGCTGGGCGGTATGGCCTAAAATCAATATCACGACATATTGACCAGTTTACCTCGATAACGATACATGCACGAAAACTTTTACCACCCACCACACACACACAAGTACACGATATAGTATAGTCATAACACTATACACTGTGTCCATGTTTTTAATCAAAGTTCACAGTTTACATTTTGAGCAGCTTTTCCATAGTTTATATTTGTCATTTTAGTGTTTTTAATATATTTGCTAAACATTTTTGGCAAGACTTGAGTCAGATATAGTCATACAATTATTTAACCATCTCCATAACTTTTCATTGCAAACACACACATTATGTATGTACTATTACTTTATATTTTTAAAAATATACCAAATATGTCTTTTGTACTTCACAAAATAACTTTACATGTTTTATGTTAGACTGGCTCATTTATCTATTAAAATATCTATTGCTTTCAAAAAGATTATATTATTTAGAGAGCTCATATAATCATTTAATACTATTGATTCTTCATATTTGACCATTTATTGAATCACAGAGCAGTTCAGTCACAGTATGGTTCTAAATGTAAGATAAGCTACAAAAGTTTTTTTTTTTTTACCGGTATTATCATGAACGATATGATATGGCCCAGCCTGTGGAGGTAAATTTGTGTTTTTATGATTCAATCAAACAAAAAGCATCTTCAGTCAAAAAAAAT